TGGTAAATTATTTATCATCATCAAAAGGGGAGAGATTGTTGGCCTTCTTGTTTTGATGATGATTTAACAAACAATTTACAACTAATATTGTTTTTAGTACTTTGTTTTGTGTTGTTTAGTATACACAGGAAAATAAGCTACATTGATATTGAAGCCTATGCAAATCAAGTCAACCAATCAAGTTCAAGCTTCATATGATTCTCTCTTGGTATACTTAGTATAGGTTTATACCAATCAAGTTCAAGCTTCATATGATTCTCTCTTGGTATACTTAGTATAGGTTTATATGTAATGTGTGCAAATTCTTCAAGCTCAAATTTTACACACACATTTATTTGTGAAATTTCTCAAATCATAGGTGTTTTCATACAAAATATAGTTTAATATGCTTTGGACTATACAAACATCATAAAAATCTTTTATTAACTCCATAAAAACATTATACAAGTTTTCAAAACTTAATTTGAGCAAAATGTCAAAATTAACATGCTTAAATACACATGTATTTTAGTGTTCTTGAATATTTCTGAGATTTCACAAATAGTAAGTGCAAATTAAAAAATTCCTTTTCCAACATGTTCATATTTATGTTTATAAATTTTTCCTAAAGTTTTACATTTTTTGCAAATTATTTACTATTTTTAAAAGAGGTTTGAAATTTATTTTCACTATTCATAACATGCTAAAAACCTGTTATCAGTCGACTGATGAAACTAGCCAGAATTATTAAAAGTTTTTATTTTTACGACTGATGAACTCATCTGTCGACTGATGATGTCTTCAGCCGACCGATGAGCTGCTAGTTGCTTGTAACGGTCAGCTCATCAGTCGACTGATGAACAATATCAGTCGACTGACGGCCCAACGGCTAGTTTTTTTTAGTTTTCTATTTTCTTGTCATGTTGCTGTGTTTTCTTGGTTTTTAGGCTTTGCTTTTCATCCTATAAATACCCCTTATTGGTTCATTCCTATTGATGATTAAAGAGGGTTTTAACAAAAGTTTTAAAGGGTTTAAATTTTTTTTTCTCAAGTTTTGGTGTTTGTTTACAAAGAGGAAGCTTACATTGTCAATTGAGAAATTCTTTCATCATCTACTCTTTGTGTTTATATAGAAGTTTCCCTAACTCATTTATCTAGCACTTTATTATTGATTTTTCATGCTCATATTATTGCTAGTTTGCTATTTGAGTTAGATTTTATTGAACTCATTTTATCACACACATCCCTATTTCTAGTTTGCTATTTGAGTTAGATTTTATTGAACTCATTTTATCACACACATCCCTATTTGAGCTTTTAGTATTTCATACATTATATATTGGGTTGTGGGATTGTGATATTATAAGAGTGAGCTTACATTGAGTTATCATCTATTGTAAGAAACAAATATTGCATTTAAGCCTTATTGTGAGTTACACATTGTATTATACTTGTACACCGAGAGGAGTGGTTGATGAGAGATGCGGTCGATTCTAAGAGGAGAGGCGTCGGTTGTAAAGCCTAAAGAGAGGTTGTAAATCCGACCACTTGAGGAAGATGACACGGGCTAGGCCAACACTTAGAGGGTGTAAAGTGTGTTTACATCATGTGTGTCGTAAACGTTTGTCGGTAAGCGTTAAAAACCGATTGTGAACATTTTGGATGAACGTCAAAAACCCGTCGTGATAGTGGATTCTCCCGGAGAGTGGGGAGCGGAGACGTAGGTCGGAAGGATCTAACTCAGTGATCATATTATTGTGTTTGGATTGCTCTTTGTGTCCACTATTTATTTATATCGTTTCTTGTTTATTTTCCCTTTGCATATATATCCTTGATTTAATTCAATAGAATATCTATCTTGCTAGGGTATATTTGTTAATAAGTTTTAATTGGCATTAATATCGACCCCCCCCCCCCCCTTTAGGGTGCTAACACATATGACCTCTATTTATAGGATTAGACTAGTCCTAGTGATTTTAATTTTAAACAATTCATAATTGTTTAGAACTCTATCCATAACAATTAAAGATAGATTGTTCAAAAACTTTATCCATAACAATTATGGATAGAAAAAAATTTGTTCAAAAACTTTATCTGTAACAATTAAGGATAGAAATAGAATTGTATTGCATATATACCTTTTCTAATGACATTAGTGAGACCAATTGGGTCCCATATCGAGAACCAATTATTAATCAAATTAATAATTTTAATTTAACAATCAAATCCCTATCCGACCAACTGTTCATAAAAGTTCTTCCATAATATGAGATTAATTACTAATAAATAATATCTTACATTCAGTCCCCTCTAGTATCATTTATTTTAAGCAACTCTTTTAAGCAAGACAACTCACCTATTTGGTCATGTCTAAATTGCAATTCCCATGAACATAAATAAAAATCTATTTAAAACATCAAAATATTTTATTTTATTTTATAAGAAGGTATTTTTTTTTAAATATTTCAACACCACCTGCCGGCAGGAATTTAATAACTTCATGGGAATACATACTAAATTAACTCATCATAATGAGCATACTGAATCCTATCTAGATATTCATCATTTCCCTAAATAAAATTTAGCAAATGTTTCAGGTTGTGTAGCGCTTGCTAAAAAAGCTTAACCATCACATCAAAGTATACTAAATTATCAAATCGAAAATGATAATATCATCAAGTCAAAGGGACCATGTAACAATTTAAATTTTCGATCTCTTAGGAGACTCGTCCTAGAAAATTCAAATACGGTCTAGTGCTACACACATCATAATGCGTTCTTATGACATACACCCGGAGAATCCCCATTTTTGGTGGTTGAACCACCACATCTCATATATCGGTGTCATGCATAATAATCTGTTATAACAAAGTTATCCTTTACTAGTTATATGTTAAGCACAAATTTAAGAAGTTTCTAAGTTAAATCATATCTCCAAGCAAGTAACCATCACAGTGCATGATCTAACAAAATAACTTCTAAGAATATATAACAATTATATAAATAATACCCAAATTATATATGCAACAATTAAATTTATTAACATTACAATATTATTACATAATTTGTATTGGATGTTCAAGGGCATATTCTTATTACTATTCCAACAGTAATAACTAGAGTAAGAACTGATGAAGGAGAGACTAAACCATATTACCATAGGTTTACACCAAGGGTGAGTTTTAAGTCTTTATCTTTTTACATTGGTTATGGATCAACTTACTGAGCACATTCAGGATGAAATCCCACGGTGTATGTTATTTATCGATAATATAGTGTTAGTTGATGAAACTAGAAGATACATTACTTCTAAAGTAGAAAGATAGAGACAAGCTCTTGAATCTAAAGATTTTAGAATTAGTAGAATAAAAACAGAATATATAGAGTGCTTTTCTAGTAAAAACTAGGAAAGGAAGAGAGCTTATAGTTCATATTGATGCAAAGAAATACCTAAAATTAATCATTTTCGTTATTTAGGATCAATCATCAGGCATTATCGTGAGATAGAGGATGGCGTTTTGCATTGAATCAAATCAGGATGGTGAAATGGATGAGTGCTTCGGGAGTCTTATGTGATCGTAGAATACCAATAAAATTAAAGGAAAAATTCTATAGGACGGTTATAAGAGCAACTATACTTTATGGGTCAGAGTGTTGGGCAAATAAAAAACAATATGTTTAAAAACTGTGTGCAATAGAAATGAGAATGTTGCGATGGTTATGTGGTTATACATTAAAAGATAGGATAAGAAATGAATGCATCCATAGTAAATTAGATGTTGCTCCTATTGATGATAAAATGAGAGAGAATATATTAATATGGTTTGATCATGTACAACGGTTATCAAAGGAGATGACTCGTAATAGAATGAAATGAAAAAAAAATAAGATTCATAAATATTTGACATAAAAAGTTTGGTGGTGGTGGTTGATTTTGTCCTCTAATCAACTTATTATGTCATGTGGATTTCGGACACGATGGTCCCAACATATTGCCGAGGACGTAAATCGTACTGGTTAAATATGGACCCAACGCTCGCCGACATGCTACATGACTTGAAACTCAGAGTTGTGGGCAGAGAGATGAAAGAGACGTATTATAAGGGGTCAGGGGTAAAACCTATGGATAATAATACAAATTTACAGTTTGTCCAATCTGCAACTGACTTATGGGTAGAAAAATATTATGTAGTGTCGTTAGCAGAAAATCTATGTAGAAATAACGAAAATGATAGGGGCACACCTCCAATCACAACCTCAATCACACCCCTTCTCTCATTTTCCTACAGTGCACCGGGCTCCATGTGAGATTTTAAATTTTTAAAAACCCATGTGAGGCCCGGCGCACTGTAGCAAATGAGAAGGGGGTGGGTGTGGTTGAGGTTGTGGTTGGGGGTGTGCCCCTAGTGCCATCCTAAAAATAAAAAAGGAATTGCAGTATTTATCTTATTAAATTTGTACTGATACAACTATTTATTTGCAACGACTATCAGTTTTATGGGCTTTGTACTGACTTAATATTTTGTTTGGAGCGATAAGTTAATTGTTCGCACCGGCATTTTTTGTTTGTATATAATGGCGTCAAATTGATGGCGAAAACCTTATCATCCTTTCCTTTGTTCATATATGATTTTCTTTATAGGACCCTCCACACGCTTTTTTTTTCTTTTTTTTCTCTGGGATTATGGATAGAAAATGCAAGAGAAGGAAGAAGGGGCTGCCCTCTCGCTGAGAGCAGCTGTTGGTCAAAAACATTTGCCCCGTGACAAATTTTTTTTATTTTTTCTTTAAGGATTGAATTTGAATCGTTATCCGTTTGGATCCAAAATCCAATCCTTTCAATCGGTGAACAAATTGTTGGTGTATACATAGGCCGTGACGAACCTTCATACAAATTAATCTCTCGGAACTCCTGTTTTCATAATCCATTCAGACAACGTACTTTTTCCTGCGTATTAATTCAAAAACAATTCATCACGAATATATTAGAATCCGTAATCAGCTCCAAAAAAATTAGGATATCATCCAAACTAAAATCGCTTCTTCACGCATCTCTTTACGATTAGTTTATTAAACAAACTTAAAGAATCATTCACAACTGAAATTTGTTTTTCACCCTACAACATTTGGCGAAGCCCAACACTATCGCCCCAATCTATAAACTACAACAAATCCCTCCAGGCTTCAACTTGTTTCGTTGGTATGTAGACAGTATATAAATCATCGAAAGAAAAATAAGCAGAGAGTGGAGAGTGACAAAAGAGCAAGCAGAACTAAGCATGCTCCGGCATCAACAAGGACCCGTTTGCGGGTGAGCTGATGGAGTCTTGAAAGGCTGGGTTGACCGGAAACATCTCACATTGAGCTAGGTGCGCCATCAGTTGATCCATCAGAACCAGAGCCACCATTGATTCCACCATTGGAACAGCTGCCATTAATCGGAAATTTAAACGAGCTGATCCCAAATAATGAAATTATGAATTAACTATCCGTTTGAACCCAAGAAACAAACCTCTAGGGACAACACAGGGATCGTGGCGACCTCTTGCTATCAGCTCCGTTTCATTTCGGTCCCTGGTCACTGTATTTTGCTTTTTCTGCAAATGGGAGTTTTCATTAAGAATCAAATGCAATAATTTCTGAAGTTCTAAGATGGAACAGCCATTTAAAATTTGAATGAAATGTAGATACTATTTTTAAATGTTTCATTCTAAAGCTGTTTTATTAACCATTACTGAATTATGACATATACCAACGCAATTCCTATATAGTGGAGGGATATATAACGATTTCAAAATTAAATCATGGAAAAATGAGTTTAGCAGAACTGGCTTACCCCTATTGTAGAGGTGGGTTTAAAAGCTATTCTCATGTATATGGTTTCACCATTAGATATTCCTCCCTGTAAACAGAAAACTAGATATCGTCAAAGGAAGGGAGATTAACCATAGAAAAAAAAAAGCAAAATTAAAATAGCGAGCAACAAGTGATAGAAAATCTTTCGTCCAGCCAAGTTCAATAAAAGAAGCTGACCTGGATACCGCCTGACCGGTTTGTCCTTGTACGAATGTTTCCATTTTCATCAGTGTAGAACTCATCATTATGCTCACTCCCCATCAAAAATGTACCTACATAGATTGCCATCAGCTATCAGTAACTATGCTTCTTTGGAACTCGTACAATTTTAAAAGAGAAAGATGACACCCTTCCACATCACTAATCAAAATTCATCAATAATGCTTGTTTCATTACCTGCAAATCCACTGCCAAATTCAAATCCTTTAGTTGCAGGAAGAGACAACATACCCTTTGCCAGCTCAGCTTCAAGCTTATCAAAGACAGGAGAACCCAGCCCCTGGTAGCATATGGCAATACAACAACTATTCAATCGACAGTTAAAACAAAACTAAAAAGGAAAATCGATATAAAAAAATTATAATAATTGGAAAACAAGAAATTAGCAGCAACAAATAATTCAAGCAAGGAATCCTAACCCTTGGAACATTTCTTGCAATGCAAGTCACAACACCACCAACAGAGTCTCCTTTTATACGAACGGCATCAATGGCATCAATCATCTTTTGAGCATATTCTGGATCTGGGCACCTTACTATGTTGCTCTCTATCTGGAAAATGTCATGAAAGCAGTTTCTAATGCAAGCAAAGAAGAACTGGAAAAAATATAAAGGTGTTTAAAGGATGTAAGCAACTGCAGACCTGATCGTAGGTTACAGTCTCATTGTCGACCACTCCTTCAGGAAGGACAACTTTATGGACTTGAGAAACATAAGCTAGGATCTGAAAAATACATATACTTTAATATCTATTATATAGAACATAGTCTACCAGATAAAAATATTTCATGAGCTTTCTGAATTGAATTTCACTTGTTGGCATTTTTCGTCTCTTACACAGCTAAAACATATTTTCTTTGCAGGGATGTTAAATAAGTTGGCACATTTTGATTTTCTAAACGAATTTAGCCTAACCAATAGTGTATGTGCACGCGCTGATATTCTCTCTTGTTTATGTTTCTTATTTGTTTCCCTTGATGATAATCTTCGCAGACGTTCATCAGATTACAATTTTTATCTCTCTGTAGATGCTCGCTCATTTTTTTAGCAGTCAGAAGGGAAACATAGTCACCTATGATATCATATAATTTTTTTCCAGCCAAAAGTTGTCTGACATCCTATTTCTGACTCCAGCTTGGTGGAGAAAATAACTCTAATTGAAATCGCTCTCTCTTTATTGGAAGGTGGGATTACTGTGTTTGCTTGTTGGGTTTGTGCTGGAAGAAGGGTGGGAGAGGTGGAGGAGGGGATGATGGACTAGAATAGGATAAAAGAAACTGTGTGGCTGAACAACACAACTAGAATAAAAGCTATTAATTATAGCACAGAAGAATATGCATGGACTCACTTCAGTACCAGACTTCATCTTCAGAATCTTCTTCGCAACAGCACCAGCTGCTACTCTTCCAATAGTCTCTCTTGCGGATGATCTTCCACCTCCCTGCATTGTCAATTTAAAAAGCCATAAAACAAACAAATTAAGCATTGTACTTAATTTAAAAAAAAACAGCATGCTCTGCTACCTTCTGTTGCACAGTAAAAATTATCATATAAACGACAACAGAAGAACTTTGAACAAGAACCATTTATTGAAAAAGCCATGAACACACCTGTACTGATCTCAAACCATATTTAAAATCATATGTTGCATCTGCGTGGGAAGGCCTGTATGCTTTTGACATTTCACTGTAATCCTGCAAAAGTTTCATCGTAGGACAATTCAGAATTACGCAAAAAAGTTCATAATGCATTGACCAATATGAAATTTGGTTTGAAATCAATCAATAATATTTAGGACAAAGAAAGCATAAATGAACTAAGATACATATATAATCTAAAAGGAAAAGGCAGATGCTTCCTTGAAATCTCAAAAATCGTCCTGGCGCATTAATAAGTATCTATGAAAAAAAAGTAAATGATGCATGATGCATTCTAAAACAAGAGGGGGGATTTTTGGCAAGGCTGTACCTGACATGTAACATATATAGTATGCAGGTTCAAGTGTATGATTTAATTTCAGTTGAAAACCAAATACTCAATGACTTACAAGAAGAACTGCCATGCCAAATCATCTGTCAGTTTCTTCTCATAAGAAAAGAAAATGGAAAAGGTGCAAAAGAACACATACATGCATACTCCCAAAAATTTCCGTGTGTCTACCAGAAAAATATAAACTTAATGAAATAGACGACCCTGGAAGAGTAAGATGGAGATAAAAAGGGATTCGTGTACACAACACCACAATTTCGGATAAAGTTCAAGCACTTGTTTCATGAAATAAACTTTTAGCAATTAAGCACTCAATGCAAACTCATACTGTTTTCTATACTAGTTCTTCTGACAAATTCTATGCACATCTAGGGGGGAATGTATAGAAGTTGAAGTGTTCAATTATGTTTGTGAATATTAAATAACAATGAAGAAGTACATATTTTGTTGAAAATTTTTCTTGCTTTCATATATGCGAAAGGCAACACGTCATGCTAAATCTAACCACAGCATGGTTTATCAAAAAGAAAGAAATACCAAAGGTCATAATAAAATCGATATGTATCCAAGTGCTCTCAGAAGTTATGAAGTTTAAGTTAAAATAATGCTTTCTACTTTAAGTATGACATGGTTTGCTTGAAAGTAGAGATAAACATAAGATGTTATGATGAAGCTGATCTGCTTCAAGTATTTATCCCAACAAAAGAAGATTTCCCTTAAAGGGAATAGTACACTGTTAGCATCCATTAGAACAACCTTGGCAGACAGAATCTTCATATTATTTCTTAATTGTTTCCTTTATATTTACCATAGATCATCACAAAAGAACATAGAGAGGACTGAAAACATAATTCAATCATATAAAGTATAAGTTCAAACTTGATATCCATACGATGGAATCTGGACAATTTTAAGGGACTACTCACATGTCCCCTTTGGTCTGTGTTCGGTACAAAAACATGTATAGGAGTTCCTGTAGTCATTCCTGCAGTAGATAGTGGAGTAAGAATCAGATTCTTAGTCACATGATGCCAATTCATGTTCACTGGAAATGCCAGACCTCTGATGATGGCCCAAATGAATGATTTCAGATTCTTAGAAAAGAACTAGATTTCTAACCTTCAGAAATTCCTGAAAGAATTTGGCACGTATCAGTCTCCTTCCTTGGAGTAGTTATTCTGCTCTGACCAGGCCTCCTGGCTTAAGGTAAAAAGAATAATATGTAACAACGAAACAAAAGAAATGAACACCAGCATCTTTAAACATAAAAACTGACTCTTCAAGTCATGTCAGCACGAACGAAAATTATACTTACCTTCTATCAAGTTCCACTTGCATATCAGCTGCGGAGATGGGTATTCTAGGAGGGCAGCCACTGATGGTGCACCCGACACCACCTCCATGCGACTCCCCATAGGTTGCTACTTGGAAGTAGTTACCAAATATATTCCCGGAGGCCTGAACCTCTGTTCTTCAAAAGCAGAAATGTTATATTACTAAAATTTCAGATTACAACAGGATACCATAATATAATTTAATGTGGAATCTCTATAAAATACGATATAAATAAAATAATTTTATGATGGTCGATGTTATGGTATTCCCACTCGCCAAGATACAACTCATTGCCAAATAACGGACGGGTGTATTTCTGCTAGTATGACCCCAATCAACTTGGCGGCCCAGTCCAGCAAGGGTCCCGACTCAGCCGACTCAACCTGTCGACATCTCCTCATGTCGACACGAATGGCAGTGTTAGTCGACCTTCTTGTCTAAGACGACTCTCCCTAAGCCCACTCGACCATCAGCTTGACGCCTCCCCCGTGACGACTCGAGAAGATTTACTTTTCGGCAAATGCAAAAATCAACTTCTGCTTGAAGCATATCCTTACTGGCAATGTGTCTACGTCACATTTAATGCATAGCAGGCGCCATTATGACTCTAGCATCGATAGTCTTCATGACTCATCGGATCACGTGGGCTCTGTCATGCCGTCAATCACTTCTCATTCAATGCTGAGACGCTCTCTCCAATGTTGAGGTGATCCCTCCTCTAGTCGCCAGCCGACACGTGTAAAGTAGAGGCTGACTCAGCTGTCAGCCCACACTTTGTCGCTGCCACCCTGTGCTCGGCCGAAGTGACCAACCTACCATTGTATTTAGTATATATAGGTACTATTCGAACTCCAAAGGGGGGATGGGTTCACAAATCAGACCCTCTAACACAACAAAATCACACAATTACAAGAACTTTTCACAGTTCTTCTTTCACCCCACTCAAGTTCATCAGCTAACTTAATCGTCGGAGGTACAACAAGGGAACCAATCCCCGTCCTCTCACGAATTTCTACATGTATAGATTTTTCAGATACCCAAACTCAAGAACTAGAGATAAAGTAAGAAAAAAAAGCAGCTCCTTCATCAATCTCCTCTACTTCATCCTAACACGGATTGAATTGACTGTGTGATTCTAACCATCAACAGTCAATAAAAAGAAATACAAACTTGAAACAAGGACAAGCGGGCTTCTGTTTTTTTTTTCCTTTTAGGAAACATGGGTTCAAACAAGCGTGTCATAAGAAAAAAAACTATATCAACCCATTCTCGCTTGCGTAAAAAGCTCAACATCAAACATGTCTGACTCAGTTAAACAACTCAACATCCATGAAGGAAAGCAGTCATCCATGCAAACTTTTGGATTCTCTTTGAGGTTCACCTGAATGTCCATAACCGAACTCGTCACTTCGAAAATTCTTTCTAGACTCGCTATATTCATTCTTGCTAGTTGCTTCCTATTTCAAAAGCTCTAAATTCTCGCATTCATAAATTATAAACTCAATCTATGACTTAGAGAAGAGAAGTTTTCTCCTTTCACAGTCAAATTGATCTACATCTAGGACACAAATGCATATAGTTAGGAGATCTGGAAAACCAGCTCCGTGTTCAAGGTAAGGCTAACTTCAAGTTACTTCAATATTAGGAGTTGAAAACATGTCAAATGCACTTTCCTTTCAGTTGCCAGGACATAATCTGAAATTCCTGGTTATGAGATCTGAAGTTCATTAGGAACTAAAGCCTTACAGATCTTCTATCCAAAGATATTAATTTTTTTCATGTGTGCCTATAATTCATCTTTTTTGCTTCAATTTGGCTTCCTATTTAAGCAGACAATGAAATGGTTGTTCATCCTAGAGGTCAAATTCATTTAGGAAATGGAACTTTAATATATGGTCCAATATGTAGTACTATTTACATGGTTATCAATGGCGGATTCGGGATTTCTAAAAGCAGAGTCACTATATGATTAACAATTAAAAAACTTTAAATTTATCTTTGATAGGTTTTCACATTTTTTTAAAAAAGTACGTAACCGCATTATTAATAACACTATCAGATACATTGTTCTCAAATATATGTTACTAATCACAGGTTCCAAATATATTGTCCTCAATATATGTCACTAATGATGGGTTTCCTGGTTCGAACATTGAATTGCAGGATGAGTTTTTAGTGGGTAAATTTATAAAAAAAAAATCATCAAGTTTTGTGGTTTTCAGGAAGCCATCTTCAACACTCACACCTCTCAAAAATAATCCTGACGGTGTTAACCGCTACTTTCACATGAATGGATAAAATTGCGCTAAAGAAAATATTTTTGTCAACGAAAAATGGGATTCACACCTTTTTGGAAAACAATGAAAGTTGGAAGGCAGGTTTCTTAAGGATATTCAAACCTAAAAGGGGTTTATGAAATGTACCCTTTTTAGTTGAATGGGTCCTTGGTCAGTTGGTCCACCTTGACCAAAGTGGGGGCACATGACCCCACTTTGATCAAGGTGGATCGCCCACCGATGGTTATCATGAACTATTTTTCCTTACCCCACTAGACTTGGAGTAGATTTCCTAATTAAACAAAACACTGTAGTCATATTTAGGGGTTTTGAGAGCCTTTCTATTTACAAATGCATGCTCATTGACATTTCTTAGGGTTTTGGTTCTTTTCCCCCTTTTTGGTGAACGATTTCTCTTGAGAGAACTGAGAAAAGGCGTATTGACGAGTTATTTCTCCTGCTCCTTCTTATTTTTACTTTATTATGAATCTATGATATAGTAAAATCTCTACATTTTCCTTCCTAGGTGTACAAAGCCATCTAAGTTGAATGATCTAAAAGATAGTCTCTTGCTCTCTTCTCTCATTCGCTAGCTCTCCTTCAGTCCACTATTTTGCATCAAAATCACCCTGTGATTCTGCTACCAATCTCCTATGGTTTTTCTCTTAAATGTGTACTGAAGCACCCCTAGTTTTTACTTTTTTGAAGAAAGAGTATAAGCATGGACTCTTTTGACGCCTTCTGAATTGCAAAAGTAACTTCTTTTACTTCTGGGTTAGGTCAGAAATATCCCCTAGACTTTTCCAAGTTGTTATAGCAGACCAAATTGGAATATAGGGTTATGTACATTCTTATAAGAAAAAGGGGTCGTCCAAGCGTATGCAAATAGACACAATTTCAATGAATCCTATAACATTACACTCTACATAGGATTTGGAACAAGCATAATTAGACCTGCTTTTGACACATATATCGCTGTCTATATCCATATTCGCTACTTTCAGCCTCTATTGAGTATAACAGGTATATGCTCTGAGTGCCCTGCATAGGTCGCATGGGTACAGAAATCATTTGAGAATCTCTTCCCTTCTTCCACCCCGCATCGAAGGGTAACCACTAATTCTTCAACAAATGTGAATTGCTGACTATGTTGACTATGAACCAAACATTTGCGCAAGAGGCCCTTTCTAGGGATAGGATAAGCACGGGCAGTTCTTTTCTTATCCTCCATTGTCATAATTATCATCAAGGCATTTCTTAATTAAATGAGGTCCAACATAGACTCCATATAAATATTCGGCAGAAACTTAATACTCGGTTGACAGCCAAAAGTCAACTCTCTGACTTTGCGTCAGATTCCTGACCCAGAAAAAGATGATCGTGAACTTTGAGCTCACAAAACCACTAGCAACCCCGTAAAGACGTAAAGATAACATTTTTGCAACCAGGGAGTCCATAATACTCTCTCGCCTACAAAAATATTAGAAGCTAAAAGTACACAATCTTCACAGCACCAAAATCAACTTCTCAATCTCAACCAAAAAAAATGTAATCAACGTGACCAAAGCACAGCGGATTCCACAATAATTCGTCGAATCGAAAGAAAAAGCGAAGAGAGGTCTATGTAATCTGACCTAGCCTGCGCGGAGCCTGGCGAGGGCAACTCCGCCGTCGGATCGAGATCTGGACGCCGGCGGGAGGCGGCATCGATCGGAGATCGGCGGTGGAGCCTTTCAAGAAAGGCTTCGAAGAGAGGGAGTTCATCGCCGTGGCCATGATCTTGCCCTAATTTCCCTCTTTTCTTTTAATTAGAGAGAGAGAGAGAGGGAGGGAGGGTTGGTGGGCGATGGCGATGAAGATGATCCCTTTGGGGGGAAGAATGAGAGGGAGATTTATAAGATGGCCACCCGCTCTCAGGCTCCACCTACCCTCGCCACCCACCCACTCTCGCGTATTAGGCGACCTAGTGGGCCCCACCAATGAACCTGCTGTGATTTTTTGCATATCAGACCCTTCAGAAAGGTAGCGTGTCAACGCCACAGCATCCCCGGCCCATGAGCCCTTCACTGGTCACACCGAAATATGGAAGTTACAATCTACAAGATGCACGACGAGTGTCTGTGAAAAATACATAAAAAAATACATAAAATAATGTTAGGGGCACATCATGAACCGCACTCTCAACCACACCTCAAGATTCTTTATAGTGTCAGTGGACCATGCATGGTATTTTTAAAAAAATATCAAGCATGGCTCACTAGCACTATAGAGAGTGTAGGGGTGTGGTTGAGAGTGTGGTTCATGGTATGCCCCTAGTGAGACTCAAATACATAAGTTGCATTCGTGAAATTCACATTTGCAGTAAATTATTCAAACGGATTTAGATTCTATGTTGGGTAGTTGAAAATAGAAAACTTTAATTAATGCAATTCTCACCTAAAATAATCATTATTATATATAATTTATTTGTATTTTCTTTCAATAGTTGATTTTAAAGATCCATATATTTCAAAACAATATAAATATTGTTATTTTCCTTTTTGCAAATGATTTTCCAATATTGATGGTGGTGGCTAGGATTATGAGGAGAGAGAGGGGTTGGATTGACGTCCCAAACGACAATGGGGGCGAATCCAGATTTGGTCAAAAATTGATGGGATGAAAGTATCATAATCCGATCCTTATAAGTTACCGACAAGGGTTGATTTTGCGATTAATTTTGTTATCGCACCCCCTTATTGTGTAGAGCAGAATCATTCGTTCGCATGCAAGCTTTTCCAAGATGATCTTTATTAGGGATAGGAGAGAGAGGAAAAAGACAGGAAAGTAGGTGCACATATGCACAAAGAAAAGGCTAAATTGCACAAAATATGGTAAAGTATTCTGTTTTGACAATTAAATACCACCAATTGCATTTTGGTATAAAAAACTATAAAGCTTCTAAAATTTGCACATTTCTATCGTCGATCATGCAAATATGAAAACTTTTACCCGAATATTTCTCTATGATACTTACATACTAATTTTAGGGCTTTCTAATCATTATTTTTTGTTCAAATTTTTATTAGAAATACCAGGTCCTATTTTTAAGTAGAATTAAGATAAGTTTGAAAAAGAATTTTGGTTGATTTAGTAGCAAACTTAAATAAGTATTATTAGTTAAAAAGCTCTAAAATTAGCGTGTGAGTATCATAGAGAAACATTTGGGTGAAATTTTCATGTTTGTATGGTTGATGGTAGTAACATGCAAATTTTAAAAATTTTATGGTATTACATCGTATCAAAATGCAACTTGCGGTATTTAATTGCCAAAACAGGAAATGTTATGGTATTTTTGTGTAATTTAAATAAAACCAAAAGCATAGGAGAAGATTTTCTTGGGCCTAGGTGTATGTTGGTCTTTTAGAGTGACGTGCATAATCCGTTGGCATATTTAGAGTGTTAGTTAGGATAGTTTATCAGTATTTTGTCTTAATTTGAAAGTTTATGGCATTTTTGTGGATAGGGCCCAAAGTTCATGCGCGTTCAGTGAAATTTAACTGGAAAAAGTATTATATAGGATTTTCCGTGATGATTAGTGTTTTTTAAAATGATAAGTTTTTTTCCTATTTATACTGATTTTTATTGTTTACAATGACTTTAAAATCAATAGTAAGACACTTATCATATGTTATTATCGAAAATAAAGAAGAGAAGCTAATCAAAATCCACATTCAAAATGAGCATAAAGGGACATTTGTATTCTTCAAGGTTCAGATTACTTTTATCCCACTAAACTAGGACTTAAATGCCTTACAGTTTCCCCCAACTTTGCACTTAATTATATACATTAAGTTGCTTTTGGCAGCACGTAGATACTCTGAAGTTGGTAAAAGGTGCATTTAAATGCCTTATGTTACGCAAAGATGAGAATTACGCCCTGAATCATGTGACTTTTTAGCACTTATAACGTTTGTTGAATTTACTGTTAAACCCATCATAATTCTATTTTAAAATATAAACAGAGTATGTTTAAAACAAAATTTGGGTACATAAAACAGTAAAATTCAACAATTATTAAGATCTAAAAGGTTCTAAAATTAGACTGTGATTGAAAATTTGTTCTCAAGTTTGCATAACGCATGGTATTAAAGTGCAACTTTTATAGACTTAGAGTATATAAATGCTGCAAAAAATAAGTTACGGTATATAAGTGCAATGCAAGGGAAACTATAAGGCATTTAAGTGCTAATTCGACACAAAATTAACATGATCAAAGTCATAGCAGAGTAAACAATAGTTCATCGCCATAGCCATGATTTTGACCTAATTCCCCTGTTTTACAGCGAGAGAAAGAAGAGAGAGAGACACGAAGAGAAGTGCTTAGCGAGTCCTAGGTAGGGGTGTCCATCCGGGCCCGGGCCGGGCAAAACCGAAGCCCAGACTCGGGCCCGGGTGACCCGGGCCGGGCCCGGGCTCCCCCGATTTTTTTTCATTTAAATTTTTTTTTAAATTTAAAAAACAATAAATTATAAAATATACATAAAAATTACAGAAAATGGCATAAATTTTTTTAATAACTTGAAATGATATAAATTACAAGTACAAAAAATTATAAAAAATAATAAAAAAAATTTCTTTATTAATAATCAGTAAATCCTTTACAAGTATAAATTTATTTCAAAATTCATCGCATCACAATAGATGAGTAAATCCCAACTAGGTTGGCACCTACTCACCCATATCACTATCATTTGTAACTTTTTCCAAAATAATTCATTACAAATTTAAAGATAAGAAATAAAAATTACAATTTGATGAATATTATCTAATCTTTATATCTATTTGCTAGTCCCAACTCTTCAACTTTATCTTCAATTATAGCAATCCGATCGATGCCTTGTGTTCGCTTCTCGTACCTCCACCAATCTAGTAAGCACATCACCGCTTGTATAATATACGGATCTAAGCATGTCATGTGGTTGTCGATCAAACGTCCTACTGTGCTGAAGGCGGATTCCGAAGCTACCGTCGAAACCTACACTGATAGTAAGTCACGAACCATGGTGGAAAGTATAGGATATGAAACTGATCCATATACTCTCCACCATTGTAAAATATCTAAAGCATTTCCTTAACATTTAACTAAGAAAGCAGAAAAATATTCATCTAATTCAAAAACCTCTAATCCTGAACCAATTCCTAATCTACCAGTTAGTTCAGCTACCATTGCATACCTATCAAAACTTACACTTTTACCTCGACCTGTGCTCGAAGCCGAATGCGCTGAAGCTGTAGACTGTTGTGCAGCTACACCATGTCTAGCTACATACTCATCATATAATGTTTGAAAATAATTTCTAATAGATAAATGATGAGAAATAGCAGTAAGGGTGGAACCATCATCTAAGTCTATAATCTGTCCACCATACAATAACTGTAACAAACTTCGAAGACCAATTTCCTTCAAACATGGATCAATAAGAACCCCTAAACCAAAAATATGATGAATATGCCTAAAATACTTATTAAATTTGCTCTTCATTTGAAAAATTATATTTCCAAAAATATCATTCATACGATATTTGGCAAAAAAAATTTGAATATTTAAAATTTGTAAAGCAGTTAAAGTAATAGTTGGATAATAACAATCAGATAATAACATAGTAGTATCATAAAAAACTTGCAACATCTTATTTAATTTACATATAATTGTCCATTAATCTTCACTTATTCCATAAGTGCTACTAGAGCTAGAACTAGAAGCATAAAAATTTATAAAATCATTTATAATTTTTTTATTCTATTGTTACACTTAACATTACATATGTGGAATTCCACCTATGGTCAACATCTTTTAGAATTAGTCTAGGCTTATAATTTTTTTTTACAACATTGTTTTCATCTTTTAATTCTCATTTCAGAAGCATTATGGATATTAGCAACTGTTCTAACCTTTTCTATCATGGGTTTAATTTCAGAAAATACACTTTGAATAATTAAAGTTAAAATATGACAGATACATCTAACATGAAAAAGGTCAACATGATATGGCAATGACAGAGTTGTTTTAATAAAATCAATAGCTATATTGTTATTACTTGCATTATCTAGTGAAAGATAAAATATTCTTTGATCAATTTCTAGTTTCATAAGTTCTTCAATTATTAAATTTGTAATATTAATACCAGTGTGTGGCTCTTCAATTGTAATAAAAGAAACAACTCTTTTAAACATTTGCCAATTTTTATTAATCCAGTGTGCTGTGATACATAAATAACCAGTTTGCACTCTAGATGTCCAAATATCAGAAGTTAAAGAGATACATAAATAACCAGTTTGCACTCTAGATGTCCAAATATCAGAAGTTAAAGAAAATTTACAGTTTAAATTTTTAAAATAAGAAATTATTTTTCCTTGTTCCTCTTGATAATATTTTAAAATATCACATTGACAGGTTTGACGAGAAAATTTTGTAAATGCGGGATAAAAATCATCTCTAAACAAATCTTCAAATTCATCATCATCTACTAATTTAAAAGGCAGGTTTTTAAGAACAATAAACCTGATTATGCATTTCCTAGCTCGGGCAGCGTCATAATTCCAACTTCCGAGGGTACCAGAAGAGGAGGATTAGGAAATCATAGACTGTCGGATATCAACTTGAAGATTATGGCCTTTGTTGTGTTTTTCTATATGACGTTTGAGATGGTTGGTGCCGCTCTTATGATGAACTTGGAAAACCTGGCCGCACAACGCACATTTTGCCTTCTGGGAGATGATCCTACCGTGTTCATCCTTAGTGACGTCTATCTTCTCAAAAAAATTTCACACATCGGATCTCGGCCTTTTAGGAGCTCTTGGTGCAGTAGATTCATCGCCATCAGATTCAGGATTAACACCGGTAGAAGGAGGAGTT